GTCGAAATATTTAAAAGTACTCGTACAAAGCCATCGCCGTTTGATGTGGAAATTGATCAGTCCGAGCATGGACCAATTCTTTTAATACTAACTCAGGTTTTGCTAAGAAATGTCCTCTTAGTTCCTGACCAATTAGAGAACTGCAAATTTGTCAAGGTCATCATGGGAGTAAGCAGTAATGAAGGGAAAAAATAACGCGTAAGCTACTGTTCTGTTACAAAATGAATTTATACTGCCACCATATTCCTATTCAGGTACATTAATAATATGCCTTTAAATTCTAAAAATATTTATTAAAATTATATTTAGGTCCGATACCAATTACCGATACAAAATTTAAATGTCTGAAGAAATTCTACCATGTTGAGCAAAATCATTTTTTGACAACCTTCCAAAGAACTGAGAATATTCTTTTATAAACAACCGATTTTTTTGTACTTCATTTTTGATTTACTTTTTTCGTACTTAGCCCCTTTTGGCCAATAATTTTTGGTAGTTTGAGGAAATATTTGTTTATTTTGTATTCTGTTTTTGGAAATACATGTTTATTCATAGCATATATGTTCTTCATTTAATACCCAGGTAAATATTTTAATAAAGAGATTTCGTAATAACCAAATAGTTTTCACAGCAGTCAATTTCCAAATTTATACTATGTTTTGTGCGGAATGAATATTTTGTGATTTGGCTCTTTATGGACCTGTACCCTTCAAGTCGAATCATTTAGACAGTTTTTATACACACAATCACAACTGGAAAAATGTTTTCACTGTTAAGTGTATCTGAAAATTATTTATTATTATTATAATTAAAACGTATGGCACACCGTAAAACGTTTTATCCTAAATTTCTTTCCTAGAGGTTAATGAATTAAACATTCACCAGTGCGGCTAATGTTTTTACTCTACCCAGATGAAGTATTGTTACGCCGAGTTACATAGTAAACAAACTTTTGTATGTAATTTAGGTATTTACTTCACATCAAAGCTGTTAAATTATTTTGATTAACCTTGTTCTTGTGCTATAAGAATTTAGTTAACTACTCATCCAGTGGCGGAGTCTCGAAATTGAAAACTCAACTCAACTCAATATAAATAAGGACAGGGCCGTTACAATAAATTTTAAGCAACGTCACTTGCAAAGTAAACTAAATAGTCGAAACTCTAGTCAGTTTAACATACAATAGGTACTGATGTAAAATATTAGGTGTTAAATATAAAATGGAATATCTAGCATTGATAAATTTTGTGAAAAGTTGTGGACGTTGTTATATATTACGGTCACTGGTAAGCCACTGCAGTCAGAATATTATTATCAACCTATATTATGCAAACCTCATTCACAAATGTGATATTGCATCATTCACTGGGACACAAGTGGTCACGTCAACGAGTTCTTATTATAGAAAACTTTGCTTTGAGAATAACATCTTGACTATAAAATAGAGAACTTGTAGACTAGTATTCAAAAAGTTAAACATTTTGAGAGTAACTAATAAACTATGTTGTTTTGTTTTCAATAAACTGGCTGTTTTTCAACAAAATCAATTTGACTACCTATAATTATTAGTTTTAAACATATCCAGATGATGCCAACTTGGTTGGCGAAACGCGCGTCGAGTGCAGTATATGGTGTTTTGTGGAAAATCACTTCAGATTAGCTCCGTATCAAAGGTTCCAACCCACTTCAGGAGCATAATTATGAAACAAGATTTAAACATAATCTTTGTCCAGGCCGACATTTCGTTGCACGATATGAAAAAAGCCTTTATTTCAATGTGTGTAAAATCTTTAATGCCCTACCTACTGATATACTGATATACAAAAACATTATTTTATTCTTAAAAAAAACTTACTGCTTATTGACAAAAGCTGTTATTCTCTTGATGATTTTTCTTCCAATTAACTAATCAATTTTAACTTACCTTAATCTATTTTCTTTCTAGTCACCTGATATGTATTTTTCTTACTGTTATACATTTTTGTGTAATATCTTTTGTATTTTTTGTATACATATATAGGTTGATGTAAATCTTTTAGATATATGGGATCGCTAACGCCGTATGCATAGTCGGTCTCCGGCGACTCGCCAGTCGCACTCAGCAATGAATGTATCCTATATATATTTCATAAATAGGGCTCATCCATTGTTTAGCGGCTTAGTGAGTCGCTGTAGATCGACTTTGCATACGGCCGTAAGAGATTCGCAAACATGCATGCCTTACCTTTATCGTGTGGGCGAGGCTAGGACAGTTCTCCTTTAATATGCTTTTGTTGCACGTCACCCGTGTATGCAATTGACTTACACCAACCTGTTTTATCTGCTGTATGTATTAACATGTTTTTTTTTATATGTATTTGACTCTCTCTACAGTTATAAGTATTTACTGTAAAATTTTACCGAGAAAGAAAGAATTATTATTACTCTTATCATGTTGCTCAGTTCTGTACAGCCGTTTACAAGTAAGGCATATTCGAAATATACTTTAATATAAGATAAGTTACAATCATAATAAATATACCGAAATATTTACAAATACATAAATTTCAATTAAACAGCAATATATTGACATATTTATGAATTTTGCACTCTACATCAAAAATGAAATTAATAAGTAAATAAATCTATAATTAATTACAAAGTAAAAATGAAATTAATAAGTAAATAAATCTATAATTAATTACAAAGTAACAAAGTTTAACAAATGAAAACAATATACTATTATCTGTTGATTTTGAATTATAACAGTTATTTTATTTATTTTCAACTTTTTATTATCTGATAAGCGAAAGCTGTAAGAGCCACGTAGTCGATTTATTGTATTTTTTTCTGGAAAAAAAATTTTTTCAAGCGTTTAGGGTCGTTTTAAGCATTTGCGACTATTTTAATAAGTTAAAGCGCTGTTCTCAGCAAAAGCAACTAGCAACGATAACGTGATCGCAACCCAACTGCAATACAACGCTGCGCTAATGTTTAAATATGTCTGTTACCACTAAGGGCAACTCGATTCAGTTTGAGTCGAGTTTTTTAGCCATATGGTCCAACAGAAGCTGCAAGAAATGTATTTTGGTAGTGAAAAAAATCTTATAAAATTTTTCTTTAAAATGTTTACCTGATAAAAATTGTATATTTATGGGCGTGTGTTAAACGTAAAGATAATCAATTGTTCCACCTTTTATTATCATTAAATAAAGTTCTTTCGTATTGTTGTTCAAATTGCATTGAAAACTGTTCATATTCATTTTATTTGATTTAATTTTATTTTTAAAATGTGAAATTCAACATATTTTTATAAATTTTTTAATTATGATCACTGTCATAGAAAAAATAGTGTATGAAACACATGATAAAAGTGATTTTATTTTGTTCGTAGAGTTGCTTTACTCAACTTCCCCACTCACAAAATAAAATGACACTTTTAACACTTGTATCATAAATAGTTATTTTGTATGACAGTTATTAAAAGTGACGTTTTTAATTCCAGTTGTAGAACTACAAATTGAATATTATGGAGAAACGTGTTAAAACAGTCACTTTTAATATTAGCCCTAAAAGTAAAATTCATTGCTCATTACTGCGTTTTGAGTATATTTTTTATCCACACACAAATTTACCTCATAATAATAGAAAAACACGTGAAATCAATGAAAAATTCCTTATTTTGGAATTAGAGGAAAAGTGGTCGTATTCAAGCAATACTAATTCCCTGTGAAGAACTAGTCAACATGAGTTTTCAGTAGATCCAATGGTAGTACTGAAATTGCCACATGATGGTATTATCGAAGTGTCTGAGTCACATGAGTCAACAGAAGTAAAAGGTAAAATCCGATAAGCAAGTTCTCAAATCATGGTCAAATCATGTAGCATTCACAATAGACGATTTCCATCCGCCATGTTGTTTTATTATAGTTAAGTTAGCTCCAGATACTACTAAAAAGGATGCCGAAGACCTTCGGAAGTAATGTCCAGTGAACAGTTTCGAATCCGGAAATTTTAAAGACTGCAATATCGGCGCATATATTTTTAAAGCTATTAATAGCAACTTCTTCAGCAGTGCATTTGTTATTCGAATTTTTGAAGAAACATTGGATGACTAACGTTAAAAGATTCCAGAGAAATATATTTTTGGTAATAATTCATATAGCTTTCAACGATGCCAAAAGTGTGTTTAATTTTAGTTTTAATATCTGGAATCTCTATCGTCAATGTGTTTTCTAAATCTTTAATATCGTCTACCGTCAAATGACAAAATTCTTCCCATCGGCATGCTCCCAATAATCATATAGCTGTAACCACGTTGATTAATAAAAATTGTGCATTCAAACTTCATTATAAAATTTGTCGATTTCTTTCCTAGCCAGAATTTTGAATTATTTTGATCGGTATCTGCTTTTCGTTTTAGAAACGCTATCAATTTATAATATTTTCTACTTAATAGCTTTGTTGTTTTTACTATTAAGAGAAGATTTTATCATTGAAAAATGGACGCAAAGAATTGACGGTTTTCATATTACGGATTTCAATTCGACTTATGCCAAAAGTACATTTTCCGTAAACTTGCATTTAACCGTTTTTTAGTTTACATCATTCCATAAAGCTTCTGGTCTTGTCACTTATTGTATTATAAAATATAGAAACAACCATGCACTAGTCTCTAATGGCTCAGTGAGATTTACTGTTTATTTCTATGAATAAACTGTAGAGAAAAAACAAAAATATATCATAAATGTGCTCTGGAAATAAATACCGATTATTATAATACGTTTTTTTATTAAATGTCTTATTTATAATACTGTCCTGACGGAATTTAGCACATTGATATTCTACCCACTTGACTAGCACAGACGCACACACGAGAGCCATTCCTCCGGAAATTTGTCAAATGCTGCAGTTGAGACCTGAACCCAGAAAGGATAGACAGTGACTAGCCGTGTTCTGTCACACAACAACGCTCTAGCCAACTCTGCTACTGGTTTCTTAAAAAAGCCACTATACGTCTATGGCCTAGCCAGGATTTGAACCCGGGCACACTAGGTTTCAAGCCTATGGTATAAGCACTGAGCTACTTAGCCGATAATAATATCATTTAGTTAATGCAGTTACATATAATTTCTCATACGAGAGCTACATTTGTCCTATGTGTAAACGTAAACAAGAAACAGTTCTTGAATGATATTATATTCGCAATTGACACCATTAAAGAAACTGTAGTATTTATACTAAAATTCTGCAGAATCGTTTTCGTGCAGAAATTATTGCCACTTTTTCCCATAAATAATGGACATAAATGTAGCGATTACCAAGTAAATGGCAAAATAACTAAATTGGTCGTCATTTTTCAATACGGCAGCGGAAGATCACCGATCGATGAGGAACTTTACTTCGTTGATTAAGGAGCTACTAATATAGAACATTTACGTCAACTTGTATCACTACTATAGTCGAATTGGTTTCCCCGAAAAAAACTAATTTAATTATACAACTTATAGAAATGTTTGTCATTAAAGCAAAATGAAGTCCCAGTTTACATTTTCTCAATTAAATTGAGAGTGGATAATTTATTACCCCATTTTCCTAAAACTAAGGGATAGCATGGGTGCAGGCATTGTTATATTTTCGGAGAAAAATATATTACCTCCGCGCGCAGTAGTAATTTCTTTGGTAATAAAAGTTTATGATGAACTCTTTAGCCGCCGCAGTCTATGTCTTATTATTTTTAACCGAGTTTGGTTCGAAGATGAAATCGTAAAAATAATGCTTCCTTAAAAAATCTTATATTGGCTTATATCTGCACAAAGTAAAGAATAATGTCACAATATATTAAAAATATGGGTTATTATCTTTCTTTATATACATTTCGCGTGAAACTAGGATGGTAGCAACAGTTAAAATACTTTCAATAATGGACCCAAATTCTTTCATATCATTACAACGGATGTGGAGGGGAGCGTGGAATTTTGAGTTTAAATGTAAATTTATACTCAAAATTTAAAAAAAGGTGATAACTGTAATCATCCTGAACTCAGTGATACAGATATTAGGAAAAATATTTAAATTAAATACATTTTTGTTTTATATACCGGGTGTAACAGGATTTTCTCCTTTAGTTTTGAGGATAATTGATTGAAATTTGGGATATCCTATATACATAATAAGCGGCACTTTTTGACATACAAGTGATTTTTTTTCACTTCTGGTTTCGCCGGAAGTGACAATAACTTTCGATTTTTAAATGCATTTTTGAATTCTGCATAATTTTCTGAATCCAACGATACCAAATAAGTGATATTTCAAACATCAAAATTTTTTATAATATAATTTTTAGTTACCGATTTAATCGAAATGACCCGTGTAATGCTAGAAAAATCGAAATCCCGTCAAAAATACTAAATTACGTGATTAATGAGCAAATAAAGTTCATCAAAATGGTTTTTGAGGAAAAACTCAATATTTTCAAATGATACCATATTGGTACCGTGGTACCATTTATTAGTACAATTAATAAGGAATTTATTCATATGTCGTATTAAAATGTGCGATAAATACAAACAAAATTACAGCTAAAAGAAAATAGAAAATACAATTTTGTTCTAATTAAATGTTAAGAGTCTATATCAGATGCAAGTGAAATATAGTCTCGATTTTACCACACCCCGCGCAGATCACGGTGCATATATACAGCCAAACCGAAATTATCGCGGCGAATGTCGAAGGTGGCCGATGTTCTAGTTACAGAACGGCATAGTGGAACATTTCAGATCGGGAGATGTTGATTTATCAGAGGCGGAATTCGAGAGGTTTCGTACGACATAAACGGACGAAAAAGTTGTATTGCGTGAAGCTTATAACCTAACCTTACCCTTCATGCGTCATTGTCCTGCAATTAATATGTAAAAACAATAAAAAAAAACCCGAAATTATTTTATTTACTTTGTTTAAAAATAGCTAAAGAACTAAACAACAAAACAATTAAAACGTTAATCTACAAAAAAATGTCCATTTTACCGTTTCTTATTAATGCATAGTATTATTTTAAAAATTTTTCCTATAAAATGGAAGTATCAATGTGTCATATCATTCAACTCAGAATGAAAAAGGCGATGAAATAATATGAAAAATATATTTGTGTTATTTTAAATTTAAACTCCAATATTTTTATCAAATATGAAAGATTATGATGATGTTACATATATTGCTGAATTCAGAAAGAAATTTTTTAAATTGAGCTGAATATACAGGATATATCATTTAGAATAAAAAAAATTAAGGCAATTTCCGGTCAAACCGGAAGTAAAAGATATGTATGTGACGCGCATATTTAATCAGTATTCGGAATGTCATATGTCCATTTCCGCATATTAATACGGGGTGTAATTTTTTTATTTTTCAGTTTTTCGGCGTTCTCTTTTTATTTGACATTCAATTGTTTTTAATTTTCGGATTCCTTAGAAAAAAGCACATAAGTATAATTTTTGAAGTTATTTCCTAGGTTAAAAATACAGCAGAAAAATCGAGTAAGGTGCACTTAAAATGATCACCCTGTACATGAGGTTACTGCGCTTAAAATAAATCAAAAATAAAAATTATCATATTCACCTTTCATTGAGCCTTTCATTCTCCATATCAATATTTAGAGACGGCAAAATGGGAAAACTTTCATTTATATTAGTCTCTCTACAGAAATTACCGGAAATAAAAGAAAATTATTACTTTTATTAATTTACGAAAAAAAATCAATTTTCACTAGTACTTACTTTTTATATTTTCTCTTTTGGGCTAATGTTCGATTTTTCGGTTTTCTGCTAGGGTATTTACGCTTATGATATGTTTTTATTTTTCCCATTGTTCTTTCACTGCACTAATAATCACTTTCAACAGCACGTCTACTTAGGTGTACACTTGATTTCAAAAAAAAACTGGTACAACTCTTGTAATCGAAAATCTTAATAGTTTAGTTGTGTGCATATGTCTGTAAATAGGGCTGGCCAGGCATGTCGAGAGGGGGTGGAGAAGAAGTGATTTACCCCGAACCTGGGTTTTTTGGAGGAGATCGGTTTTCTTTGTGTTTTTAAATTTATTAAACCTTTCTCTTTTATTTTATTCAAATGGAATTTTAAAAAATAATTAGAAAATAACTTATTCAAAACATTTTCAAGCCTGCCATATTATTGTTTAAAAAAATAATATTTGTTACGGATAATTCTACTAATGGTTGTAATTAAAATACTAACTGAATAATGATAATTCTATTTTTAAAATAAGAACACAAAAATACCACTTGAGATTAAAGAAATGTAAACAATGCAAACTGAACATAAAAATACAATAAAAAAATAAAATAAATGAACTTCAATTACGTAATACAGAATTAACTAATATTTTGTCATTGCTCCATTAGCGTCTAAAACTGCCTGAAGTCTTGCAGGCATGGACAAAATCAGATTTCTTGCAAGGTCAACTTCTTGCGACAAGTTCTCGCAAGCGTCTACAATTATTCCTTCCAATTCTTGGGCATTATTTGGATGGTTAATTAATTTTCTTATATGTTTCACCATTAGTCCCCATACATTTTCAATTGGATTTAAATCGGTACTTTTAGATGGCCACGGTAACAACTCTATATTTTTATTAAGAAACCAATGCCTGATACGATGGGCCGTATGTATGGAGCAGTTGTCTTGTTGGAAAATAAAATTATTTTCCGGAAACACCTCTATTACTGACGGCAACATAATATTGTCTAATATTTCAATATATTTAATGGAATTGAGATAACCACCACTGTTCCAACACACCTAACCCATTTAGGCTCATCCAAGCCCAGACATTGACTGAAAACCTTCCTAATATTTGTGGATCGAAAGTAAATTTTTCGTCGTATCTAGTGGAAGGAGGCCTATATACGCGAACATGTCCATCGTTACAGGATTTAAAAAACCTTTTCGTCAGAAAAGACAACTTGTCCCCAGAAGTTTTCATCATTGATTATATAGTTGAGTGCAAAAATAATCCTACCCTGCTTCTTTTCTTCTGAAAGTTTGTATTTTTTAGCCGCTGAACAACTCTTCAAGTCGCTTTGTAGTTTTATTCTTCTGCAAACAATAGATACCGAAGCAGGGAAATTGCATTTACTGCAGTCTGAAAAGGGTTTTCTATTAGGTAATTTATAAGATTTTCATCTTCTTGATTATTGCTCTTTCTGGGCCTACCGGAACCAACTTTACGGGATACCGTTTGGTTGGTTTCCCATTGTTTTTTAACACTCATTATCGTGGTTTTACTCACATTGTATTCAGCAGCAAGTCTTCTTATGGACCAACCATCTTCAATTTTAGAAACAATTCGAAATTTTTGAATATCTGTTAGATGTCGAATCATTTTTAATAATGACGCCACTGATTAACGTCAAAGTGACATTTGTAAGATTATTATTATCAATCAAAGAACGAATGATTTACATAGCTAAAAGAAAGTGTACCAGTTTTTATTGAAATCAAGTGTACCCACTTTATAACAAATAAGTAAATTTGAGATATCTCTAGAATACACACGCCACTGTTGTTTACGCAAATCGCAACGTGGTTCCTAAGTGCCCGATTCCCCCTCCCGCAAATGAGTCCAGTGTATGCAAGTGCATCCGTGTTTCCGAAATATCATGCGAGATGGCAGCTATTATCGGAATATAGATATGCAGTTTTTAGTTTTCTAATAAATTTATTTTCAACTAATCCAAGAGTTGGGTCACATGAATATAAACGTTACAAACAGTGACTTTTTTGACGACTCTGAAAAAAAAAAATTACATTCCGACATTTTAAACATATTTTTGAAAAATCTTATAAAAGTCGCACTCAAATCGGATAAGTTTTAAACGAGATATTCGAGAATTATGATTTAATAGGGTATATAAGACTCTTAAGAAGTAACAAGCTAAGGAGACTTTGAAAACAATGAAATATCTAGCTTCAAACATTTGTTGGTTTACCGGTGTTTTTACTGTGTCTTTAAAAATTGTTTAAAATTCTTGTTAATTGTGTTACAAATGGCGCAAATTTATACAAAAAATACAAAA